AACTTGCCCAACCCACAATGGCATGTCAATTGGTGTTATCATTGTGCAGGTCTTGTTTAGGTGATCATATTTTTGAGATTTCAGTGTGCAGCTTCCCAACTATATCCAGAAGATACTATCTCACGGCAGATGTTCTGGTCCCTCTGGTTCTTTCAATCCTTCTACCCTCTCCTCCACAATATTTCCCGAGCTTTCAATGTAGAGACAGTGTTGTAGATGTGTCAACTGAGGGTGAGTACCCCACAGCCACTTATTCTCTGCATTTCACCAGTTGTGAATCCCTGTCATAGTTTCTATCTACTGCTTAAAGAAGCTTCTTTGATGAGAAGTGAGAGCTACATTTGTCTATGGGTGTAAGTAGTAATGTTTAGAATGCAGTTAGAAATTATATTGGTTTGGAAAAACTGCAGTAGTAGGTTCTTCTCTAGGGTCTATGACCTCTCCAACCAGTTATTTAGCTAGGGTCTAGTACTAGGCAAGACTTCTGTTTTACTGAGTGGACCTTAAGTCCAAATAGATAGTTGTTGGTTACCCCCAAAATATAAGTGCTACTACTGCACCCTTGGGGATATCTTGTTATAGTGGTCTTTGTTGTGGTTGGTAGGCTTTATATCTGGGTAAGACTGTTTTTCTTTCTTAGCAGCTTGTATACCTTCCCATATTATGAGGGCCAGTCCTCAGGTAGGAGGCTTTCAGATCAGTTCCAGCTCAATTCTTTGAAGTCCTATGATGGGGATGTTGTTCTGTATATTATGAATATGTGTTGTTCTGACTGGTTGAGAAACAAAGTTGTTTTGCCAATGGTGAGGCAGAATAAGATTAGTCAGGACATTCTAACTATAGAGACAGGAAGAAGGCAGAGAGAGATGCCAGCCAGCCGCCCAAGAAGCAACATGTAATGGGATGCAGATAAAGCCACAGAAAACGTGGCAAAACATAGATTAATAGAAATGGGTTAATTTAAGATATAAGAGCTAGCTAGCAGGAAGCCTGCCATGGCCATAGTTTAAAAATAATATAAGCCTCTGTGTGTTTACTTGGGTCCGAGCGGCTGTAGGACTGGTGGGTAAGATAGATTTGTCCTGACCATGGGCCAGGCAGGACATAGGAAAAATTTCAGCTACAGTCCTATATCTGAAATGTGTGGCATCTTCAGCTATAAAATCTTACCTTTAAGTTCTGTGAGGCAACCAAGGACAATGGCTATAACCTACATTATTTGGGATATCTCTTCAATTCCCTTGATCAAATGAAAATAACCTTGATTTTTTTTTATTACGTGTGTGTGTGTGTGTGTGTGTGTGTGTGTGTGTGTGTGTGTGTGTGTGTCTGTTTAGGACAACTTGTGGAAATGGTTTCTCTCCTCCTATCATGTTGGTCCCAGGGATTGAACTCTGGTCATCTGGTTAAGTGTAACCTCCCTTATGCACTGAAAAGTCCTGGCAGCCCTGTATACATTGTGTGTGTGTATGTGTGTGTGTGTGTGTGTGTGTGTGTGTGTGTGTGTGTGTGTGTGTGTTTCCCTAATGTCTTTTACTCAAATGGATTTGGCTTATTACAGTGTCAGGTTAGTTTGTCTGAAAATTAGTTGTTTAAAAATTAAGTAAGATTAGTGTGCTGGCTAGTTTTATGTCAACTTGACACAAGCTAGGGTCACTGGAGAGGAGGGAGCCTCAACTGACAAAATATATCCATAAGATCAGGCTGTAGGCAAACCTGTAGGACAATTTCTTAATTAGTGATTGATGTGGGAGGTACCAGTCCATTGTGGGTGGGATCACTCCTGGGCCGGTGGTATAGGTTCTACAGAAAAACAGGCTGAAGCCAGGCAGTGGTGGCACATGCCTTTATTCCCAGCACTCAGGGAGCAGAGGCAGGTGAATCTATGTGAGTTTGAGGCCAACTTGGTCTACAGAGGGAGTTCCTGGACAGCTACAGCAACACAAAGAAACCTTGTCTTAAAAACAAAAAACGAGCCGGGCGGTGGTGGCGCACGCCTTTAATCCCAGCACTCAGGAGGCAGAGCCAGGCGGATCTCTGTGAGTTTGAGGCCAGCCTGGTCTCCAAAGTGAGTTCCAGGAAAGGCGCAAAGCTACAGAGAAACCCTGTCTCGAAAAACCAAAAAAAAAAAAAAAAAAACAAAAAAAACAAAAAACGAAAGACAAGAAACCAACAAAACCAAAAATGAAAGGGAAAAAAAAGGAAGAAAGAAAAAGAAAACAGGCAGAGAAAGTCACGAGGAACAAGCCAGTAAGCAGCACTCTCCCATGGCCTCTGCATCAGCTCCTCCCTCCAGGTTCCTGCCCTCTTTTAGTTCTTGTCCTGACTTCTTTTCAAGATGGACTGGGATGTAGAAGTATAAGCCAAATGAACACTTTCCTCTCCAAGTTGCTTTGGTCATGGTGTTTCATCATAGCAACGGTAACTGTGGTGGTTTGAATAAGAATGGCCCCTTAGGCTCATATATTTGAATGCTTAGTCACCAGAGCGGCACTATTTGAAATGGATTAGAAGGATTTGGAGGTGTGGCCTTACTGGAAGAAGTGTGTCACTGGGGGTGGGCTTTGGGGTTTCAAAAGCCCGGGCCAAGCCTAGAGTCCCCCTCTGCCTTCAGATCAGGATGTAGTTCTCAAGTACTTCTCCAGCTCCAGTCTGCCACGCCACGCCATGCTCCCTTCCATGATGATAAAGGACCAAATCTCTGAAACTGTAAGCAAGGCCCCAATAAATGCTTTCTTTTATAAGAATTGCCATAGTCATGGTGTGTTGCTAGAGTTTTCTTGCCTGGCCCACAGTCAGGGCAAATCTCTCTCACCCGCCAGTCCCAAGCCGCTCAAACCCGATCAAGTAAACACAGAGACTTATATTGGTTACAAACTGTATGGCCATGGCAGGCTTCTTGCTAACTGTTCTTACAGCTTAAATTAATCCATTTCTATTAATCTATACCTTGCCACGTGGCTTGTGGCTTACCGGTACTTTACATCTTCCTTGTCCTGATGGCGGCTGGCAATGTCTCTCTCACCCAGCTTTCTGTTCTCTCCATTTTCTTCTCTGTTAGTCCCGCCTATACTTCCTGCCTGGCCACTGCCAATCAGTGATTTATTCATTGACCAATCAGCAACACATTTGACATACAGACCATCTCACAGCAATGGTGTCTCCTCATAGCAATAGGAGAGTGACTGCTGTAGTCACTACAACAGTAACCCTGATGAAGGCAATGAGTATCTGCAGACTTCTTCTATTGGATACTCTAAGGTATAAGCAGCTGCAAGTATTCAAGTTCATATGGAAACCAGGCATGGTTCACATGCCTGTAATTTCAGCAGTCACAGGAGGCAAGGCAGGAAGATGACTGTGGTGATTTGAATGAGAATTGTCCCCAGAGGCTCATGCTTGAATACTTGGTTCCCAGTTGTGGAACTATTTGGGAAGGATTAGGAAGTGTGGCCTTGTTAGAAGAGGGTGTGTCAACTGGGAATGGATGGGCTTTGAGGTTTCAAAAGCTCATGGCATTCCTAGTTAGGTCTCTCTGCCTCACATTTAAGGATCAAGATGTAAGCTCTCAGTTACTGCTCTATCACCATGCCTGCCTGCCGCCACGTCCCCCATGATGGTCATGAACTCTAATGCTCTCAACATAAGCCCCCAATTAAACTAGTTCTTTTATAAGTGGCCTTGGTTATAGTATTTTATCACAGCATTAGAAAAGTAACTAAGACAACCACCAAAAGTTCAAGACTAGCCTGAGCTACATAGTGAGATGTTATTATAAAACAAAACAAAATAAAAACCCTTTCTACCCCAAAGCACAAAGAAACAAAAGATCATCTGGAAGCATGATAGCCTTTCTTGAAGAATAAGAATTCTGTTCAAATTTATGTGTCATTTTCTTGCTCTGTCTAGATGGTCAGAGTTCCGCCTGAGCTGAGCCCAGATTGTCATTTAGGACATTTTCAGTGACACTGCCATTTTGGGGGCCTGATTTGGACCTAACACAACTGTCCATAACTCCAGTGCCAGGAGATCTGACACTCTATTCTGGACTCTGTGTGTACCAGGCTTGCACACTGTGCACTAACATACATGTACGCTAAAACATTCATACACATAAAATAAAAATAAGTGCATCTTGAAAAAAATACTGCTACCCATCGAGACAGAACTGATTTCTGGTTTCCCTACAGACACATATTGCTTTCTACCCCCAGGGCCTTCACATTTTCTTGTCTGGCTTCACAGCAGCTTTCCTTTCCCAGTTTCCTCTTAATTGTCTCGGGTTCCAACCCCAGCCTCTGGTAAATTTAAATGTTAGCTACCAGCCTGGCAAGTAGCTGAGTAAATTAAATTTCCCAATTAGTTAATAACAGAGTAAATAGCTCAACAGATGGTTTCTGAGATGCAGGAGAGGGAGAGAGAGAATATATACATTGAAGGTATGCAGCTCTATGTATACTGCACACTGACAGATAAACTTTTGATTTTTTTTCCCGTGGGACTAGAACTCTTAAACAATCCTTAAGGAAGATCTATTCTGTGTACTCCTGTGGATTTCTGTAAGCTAGTAGATACAGTAGCTTTGTAAAATGTCTTAGAAACTATTTGTTACATTTCATTGGAAAGTTGCTTTGATGAGTAGTCCCGTATCTTATTAACCTCAGACTGCCTTTTATTTAAGGTGGTGGGGCATTTCATGATTGATTTAAGTTAATGAATACATTATAAAATTAGCTCATATTAGTTAAAGCCCCAAATATCCAAGTGACCTGAGTCCCCTGCGGTGGAAGTTTTCACTCTAGTCATTCACGTGGAGACCCAATTTGTTCATGTTTGAAACCCTGAGTGATCAGGAGTGGACCTGATGTGCGATGGGAGGGGTGTGTGTGTGTGTGTGTGTGTAAAAGTAGAATTGCTTCCCGAAAGGACTGGGGTTTAAGGTGGAGGCTGGGGGCGAACCCTCCTTCACTGAACCAACATTTTTTTTTTTTTTTGCCTACCACATGCCAGAGCCCTATTCGTGTCTCCTCCGGATGGGTGCCGGTCCTTGATCATTCTCCATTCTGATCATCTCAGGAACTCGAGTCGCCCTCACTTCCGACCTCCTTCCTCCGAAAGCCGGCCGGAGGCGGGAGCGAGGCCCGGGAGGTGGTGGCGCGGCGACGCCGGTCGAGCGGAGCACACATCTGCCGCCTTCTCCCGGGAGCGTCTGTCAAGGCGTGGGAGGAAAACACGCTCCCAGCCGCCAGCCCCCTCTCGGGGGGGTTGGGGGGAAAGTCTCCCGAAACACACCCTCCCCGCCCCGACGCCGCCGCGGGTCCTCGGTGGGGGGGGCGGGGAGCGGAGGCAACTTTTGGGGAAGTCGAGGAAGGAAGGCGGCCTAGGGGGGGTCGGGTCCCGGGAGCCGAGGCCGGGGCGGGGCGCCCAGGAGCGCGGGCCGCAGTTCTCCCGGCGGCCTCGCGGGGGCGCCGGTGCGGCCGATCAGGTGACCGAGCGCCGGTCCCGGCTCCGGGGAAGCCGCCTCGTTCTCAGCCGCCGCCGCTGCCGCCGCCGCCGCCGCCACCGCCACACCTAGCGGAGGAGCCGGGAAAGGCGGCCCCGGGGGTGGGGGGGGGGAACTGGGGTGGAGAGCGCCGCGGGTGGAGGCGGAAGGGCGGCGGGCGGAAGCGAGCGCCGCGGCTGCTGTGTCACGGCGCGGGTGGGCGCGCGGCATGGGCGCGCCGCGCTGAGGCGGAGGTCGCGGGCGGGCGGGCGGGCGGGCCTGAGGGAGGCGGCGAGCCGGGGAGTTGCGCGCCCGGCGGCGGCGGCGGCGGCGGCCACGGCGGCCGCACCATGTCGCGCTCCGTGCTGCAGCCCAGTCAGCAGAAGCTGGCCGAGAAGCTCACCATCCTCAACGACCGGGGCGTCGGCATGCTCACGCGCCTCTACAACATCAAGAAGGTGCGCACGGGCCGGCGAGGCCGGGCGGGGTGCGGCGGGGGAAAAGGAAAAGAAAAAAAAAAAAAAAAGGCCGCGCGGGCGCGAGCTCGGCCTGCTCGCGCGGGGGGCCTCCCTCCGGGATGCGCCGCGGCCTAGCGTGAGCGGCGGGGCGGGCGGGCGGGAGCCATTTTCTGGCTCCCGGCGGCGGGAACCGGCCGGGCCGCGCATGGCCGCCGCCGCCGCCGCCGCCGCGGCGGCGCGTTGGTTTGCGGGAAGGGGGAGCGCGCGGCCTTGCCGGGCTGCGGCGAGCGGGCCCGGGTTTCTTGGCGTGGGAGTGCGGGAATGTGGCGACTGACCCTCCGCTCCCCACTTGGTCACTCGATTTTTTTTTTCCCCCGCCTCGGTCGCTGAATAAAGCCCCACCCCCCACCCCTCCACCCCGACAGCATGTTGACGTTTAGGATCATTTCAGTTTGGAGATGGACGGGAGGGGGAAGTGAGGGTGGAACCGGTTTTCGTCTGAAGTACTTGTCGGCTGTGAGTCACTGGAACAGGAATAACCACCTTTCCTCTCTGCTCCTCCACGCTGTAGTTTTCCCAACCCTGTCGGATTAGCACCGTTCCTTAAAGTACAATGGCTGTATGAGATAAAGACGAAATCTGTGCCCATTGCTGTTCCCTTCGCAGCGTAGTACGATGATTTGAGCAACTAGCCAGTGGACCTATTGGAAACCTGTGTCTTCAGATTAGGGAGTGGAAGGCAGTATTGAAGTTAAGAAAAGTAGAGATTAAAAAAAAAAAATAGAAAAATGCCACATTAACTTACCTTAGAGGAAAACAACCCCAAATCCATTTATTTTAGGACAGCTTTGATAAGCCTCAGGGAGTTTAATAGAGAAAAGTTTGCTTTTGGTACAGTTTATATCTCTACATCCTTGTGGGTTTCTGTGTATTTGTGTCATTTTTTTTCGTAATCTCGTTTTTAAAAAAATGTAACGTGAACTATTGCCCTTAGACCATAGCAATCGAGTATAGGTTGTTTGTGAGTGTTGCTGAAGATGCTTTTAAAAATTCAAGTCAGTATAAACTTGCTTTGCTCCTCCAAATTGATTTAGACACTGTAATTTTGAAGCACACTGTTTTAAGTCAGTAATGCTAAACGTTGGGAAAGGATAGCTGTGCTGTTCTGGTTTCCCACTTGGTTTCAATGAATTATAGTCTCTAAACCCAGCATAATCTGGAGCTAGGATGTGCCCATTCAGTTTGTGACATGACAAAGCCCTCTGCATTCACTCCTTGATTGTAACTTTATGGGGTTAGGAAAAATTTTAATTTGAGGTAGTATGAGTTGCATTGATGACAACTTTTGGATTTCACTGCTTAAGAAGTTTGGAAATCAAGTTCTATATGGACTGTGTTTAAAACAAAAAAAAAAGCCCAGCAAATCAAATGTTACTAAAAGTTACCAGACGTGTGGTATTGTGGTTAAAGGAAATGGTTTTGATGGTTTTCTAGAAGAGGAAGTGAGAGTAACATCAGAAGTGGTTTGGGTGTTTGAGCAAAATAACTTTCTTTAATGCAGTCAAGTCACTGAACATTCTTAGAGAATAAGTATAAACAGACTCTTAATGCTTCATTTTCATGGGTAATAGTAGATGGAATTCTAAGCATTTAAACTCATAATTACAGTTTGCTGCCTTTTTCAAAGTGTTTTTCACTTCCTGTTTTGAGAAACTTCAGGCTCTTGTGTTGACTCCTGGAATGGGAAATAAGTGAATGTAGCCATTATATCTAATTGTCAAGCATTTTGGGTTATTGAAATGTTGTATTTTAGCACCTATGTATGGTTAGTTTCTTGAAATATTTTGCCTACTTGGCTTACGAATTTCTTCTGAGAAGAGCAATTCATTTCTTAGGGCATTTCAATACTTGGGGCATTATCTAGCACACAAGGCTTTGATTAGTGCTCACTGAAATCGACTCTGTGTGTGTGTGTGTTAAATGCATCTGATATTTATTTTGTGAGAGGAAGAGAGGGCAAGCAAGCAGGGCTGTGTGGAGGTTAGTGGATAACTTGTAAGAGTCTGTTCTCTCCTCTATCTGGAGGGTTTCTGGGATCAGACTGAGTAATCTGATGTAGCTGCAAGTGCCCTTCCCCTCTGAACCATCTTGCTGGCCCTTTTGATAGAATTTTCATCTTTTAGCCCATGGAACTGCCTGTCTGTATACCCAGTTGGCTAAGGATTGAAACATTTGTTCAAATATCATGCCAAAGAAGTAAGATGTGTTCATGTGTCTCTAAGGTTCATGTTGTCTGTACTCTTATGGCAATATAAATCACAATCTTTTTATTTGTTTCTATGTTCTTTAGATTTTTAAGTTTTATATGTATGAGTGTTTTGCCTGCATGTACTTCTGTACCACCTGTGTGCCTGATGCCCACGGGGACCAGAAGAAGGTGTGAGAGCCCCTGGAACTGGAAGTAAAATAGTTATCAGCTCCTACTCATGTTTCAAAACCTGGCACGAATGTCCCTATCCATGTTCTTTTCTTTCCCAGTCTAAAATCTTTAAAGTCTCAAGTCTCCCACAATCCTACTTACACACTGTGTTTGGTTAACTAGCTACACGTCTTTCTCTAATCAAGAAGATATGAATGTCTTGACACTGGACTTAATATTCCCGTTTCTCCAGTGCTAAAGGAGACATTCAGTAGATGGAGATTAAATGCATGGGCGGAAGCCCTCTCAACATTAGACTACCTAAAAGATGAGCTTATAAGGAAACATTTCCAAGATTCTTTTAAGAGATTATTTGAAATTGTCATATATACAAATCTGTTTACACATTAACAATTTAAGGCTTTATGAAGTTTGATATTATTAAAATACCTCAGTGTTCTGCTTCAACAGGGAATAGTTTCATCATTGTCTATACATTTTACCAAAGCCTGCAATATTGTTAAATTCTTGGTAATGGTATCAATTCTTATAATCTTAAGAACTTACTATATTCACTAACAAATACAATATTGAAAACAATGAGCAAGAAATCTTAGGCGTGTGATTACTATTAATTAAACTATTAAACAAACTTTGAGTATTATTAATGAAACAAACAGGCTAATCATGATTCCTAATTGTATTTCGTGTATTGCAGGTTACATAGTTTTTCAGTGTACAAAGTTATTATTTGACTTTGTGATTTCATACCCAAGACAGTGCTGGAAAACAAATCCCAGAGGCTGTGCTTGCTAGACATGTTCTGACACCAAGCTAAATTCCCAGCTTCACTATTTGTCTTTGAAAATAAAAATCTAAAATGAAGATTATGGAAGAAAAACTGTATTTCGCTGTTTCTCTTCATTCTGGTTTTCTGTTTTCTAGGTACTTCTCCTAGTTTAAGCAAAATGCCCTATTTATTTCTGTTAGTTTCTTATGTGGTTAGTTTTTATCTTGTACATGTTAAAATGTATCAGGGACTAAATCTCAGCAGTAACCATAAAGGGAGCTGAGGAGCGAGCTCATTTGGAAAAGGGTTTGTTACACAAGCATTAGAGTATGAGTTCAATCCCCAGTACTGACCTAAAATTTCAGATTTGTAATCCCGTCTCCAGGGAGATAGAGACAGGTGGATTCTTAGAGCCTGCTGGCTAATCAGCCAACCTAATCTAATCAGCCAAATCAGCCAGCCCCAGGTCCCAGTGAGACACCCCCCCTCCCCAAAATAAAAAAGGTTAGGTAACTCCTACGGAATGATACCAAAGGTGACCTTTGGCCTCTACATGTATATACATGTGCACACACCTACAGTTGACCCATGTAAAGAAAATCACAAGGAAAATAAACTTAACAGGCAAAGTTGATACAAAATATATTCTACCAAAGAAATTTGAGTTAAAATTTTAAATTGCTGGTTTAAAATTATCTCTCCTTTTAATACATTACAAAATCAAACAAATCTCCACTAGTACTCACTGATACACTGATAACATATTGAAAATGGTCTTTTCGCCGGGCGGTGGTGGCGCACGCCTTTAATCCCAGCACTCGGGAGGCAGAGGCAGGCAGATCTCTGTGAGTTCGAGGCCAGCCTGGGCTACCAAGTGAGTTCCAGGAGAGGCGCAAAGCTACACAGAGAAACCCTGTCTCGAAAAACCAAAAAAAAAAGAAAGAAAATGGTCTTTTCATACAAATTCCATCACAAATAATCCACAGTAAAAAGGAAAATTATGCCTCTACGTGTACATTTCTGTAAGGTTATTGGCATATTACTATTAATTGTATATTCCTTTTAGATGTTTAAAAAATTGAATTGGCTCTATCCACAATCAGATTTCTGAAGAACCTACTATGAAAATTTCAGGAGCAGTGAGATGCTCAGTGAGTAAAAGCACTTCTGCCAGACCTGGTGCCCGGAGGAGGATTTAAGGTCCACGTGGTGGAAGGACAGAGCTGACTCTGGAAAGCTGTCCTCTGATGTCTGCATGTGCTCCATGGTACATGTGAGCGTGTCCTCTTCCACATCTCTCTCTCTCTCTGCACCCCCCTGCACACAAAATAAATAAATGAATAAAAGATGAAATTTCTGAGCTGCATGGATGGCTCAGCACTTAAGAGCACTGGCTGCTCTTCCAGAGGACAGGGTTTGATGGCCA